AAAGACTTTTTTATTTTTTTTGCAATGTTCTGGCAACCCTTTACAGACTTTTTGCTGACACCAGTATCGAAAAGTTGATGTTCTATGGATTGCTTATAGATAAGGGATGGGATACGGGATGAAGAGATATCTGTTTAACCTTACAGGAGGTGAAGAGTTATTAAATGTGTTTATACTTGTTGTGATGAAGGTTGGAAGTCACTTCTTTATATATTTATTTTCTTTTTCTTTATTATATTCTCTTTTCTTTTTCTTTCTTTTTTTCCCTGCACTTTTTATTCTTTCTTTCCATTCTCCTTTCTTTCTCTAAGTTTAGTTTGTGTTAGTTGTTACTACTGTAATTAAAATTCTTAATAAAATTATATTTTAAAAAATAGAATGAACAAATTCTTTATGGCAATTGGTGTTTGAATATAGTATTATATTTCAAAATGCATTTCTTAATATACACATTCATCTGATGACATAAATATGAGAGGTCCTTAAAAGGAACCCAGAAAGACCATTGTTGAGATTCTTATTCTGTTGCCATTTTTGTGGCACCTTAATTGCTGAGCTCTAAGCAAACTGTGTAGTTGCAGAATACAAAAGCACGATTACAGGATTTTTCTTTATGCGAATGTGTGGTAGGATTAAATATATTATTTCTGCAAGAATAAGCCCTTCCATAATATTGCTATTTAAAGAATTATTATTATGATTCTTAAAAAGGTAAAAATCAGTGTATCATTGGAATATTAGCAGGAGTTAGTTCCTGCTTTTTATTAATTGCAAATAAAAATTATATTAGATTTCAGCCTTTTTATCTTATACAATATTTATTTCTTAAAAAAAACAACAACCTCAATCTGTCCTTCCAGAAAATAGCTATTCTTGGAGTTACCTTTATAAATAACTGCTACTTTTTTGTACTTTCCTCCTGAGTGGATAAATGCATAATAACAATATAAGAACAATAAAACAATAATAGTAACCGAAGCAAGCTGCCTGGGTCACAAGAAAGTATAGTCATCAATTAAAAATGTGTGACAGTGTTTTTTGTTGGGTGAACTAATATGTCAAGAAGACGAGCAGGACCTCATGTTTGTGTTTTTGACAAATCAGCAAATATTCCATCCCAAGATATGCAGCTTTTCATACATAATGCAGCAATCAGTCAGCCAAAACTCGGCTCTGCCAGAAGGGTGTCCCTGTCTTCTCACTACTGAGTTGTTTTTTTAGTAGAATAGTCAAAAAATAAACCATTCCTTTCATTAAAAGTATTAATCTCTTCCCCTGTTATCACTTATACCCTGTGGAAAAACTTGCGATGTGTGCCTACACATATTTATAGGCAGAGATTTTATATCCCCACCACTACCCAAGTAATTTATAAATCATAAATAGGTTCAAATGTTCAGTTCCTGGCATCCCAATACTTCATCAATTGAAGACATTTTTCTGTCTATTGTAAAGGACAAAGGTCACCTTCCCTTGTCTGTGAGCAAAATCACCCAAACTAGTAGTTGAATTTTCCTTGAAACTGAAAGCAGCCATTTAGAAAATACAGAGGGCAGGATCAATAATACATAAGGTCTGTTCTTCCAAACTGCTTCTGCATTCTGGAATTCACTGCCAAAGGCACAGCGGTAGAGCTGAGCTGTCTAGTTGAAGATTTGCAAACCTTCTGCCAAATATAGACCCAAATCACTTTATTGTCTAAAGTGCAACCCAAAAAACAGCTCCCTCATCCCAGTACTGACATATACCACCTACATTTCCTCCTCATTTAATGCCCCCTGAAGCAAGTTGCTTTTCCCAATGCATGGCAAAACCTGATTTGTTTCTACTCATCAGAATACTAGGTTTTTAAATAAACAGAGGCAGATAAACTATTTTTTTTCCTGGTTTGTGAACATTAATAAAACAACAACAGAAAAAAGAACTGTTGGACAGACTGAACAATTAATGCAGATTAAACTGCCTGGTTACATAAAAATATCTCAGGTGAATACAAAAAGATTGTAAAGTGGCAAATAAATTGTAAAGTGTAGATATTGGGCATTGAAGAAACCAGAGCACCAGCCTCTTATTTTTAAATTAGATAATCTGCTTCTAATAAGGAAACTGAGTTTTATTCAGGAATTACTAGTAGTGGTCTTAATAGCCCCAGTGGTCACACCTGTAACGTCACACTATAACAGTTATCCACATATAATCGCTTAAGTGCTATTGAGTCAAGTTTGATTCCAGGTGATCTTTAAGACAAATGCATGCCATTTTTATTTTGTAATAATACGTAGCCTTCCAAGGATATTCTGACAGTTTCTTTGATCCAATACATCCACCATTGTCTTCTGCTTCTTCTATTTTCCTTGGTCTAGCCAAGCATAATCATCTCTTCACATCACATACTCAAAGCATGCAAGGTTCTGTTTGCTGATGATTACCTCATGGGAATTGTCAGCTTGTATTTGGCCCAGAATTGACTGATTGCTTCTTCTAATGGTCTCTGGTACTTTTAGTAACCATCTCCAAATTTGTTGTTTGAGGAGGTGGTTTGCTTTTTGCTAATATCTATTTTCTTCTTTTTGCTAATATTCAGCTTTGACAATGAAACATTATCAGTGAAAAGATAATTGCTGAACTGTTCTGATTATGGGTGTACATGAAATGGAAAATACACTTTGTTTGAAACTCAGAGAGACCACTGTGTCCTGCTCTCATGAGAATGTATCTGAACTCTCATTTAGCTGACAACTTAATTTGTACCATTCAGTGTTTCTCATAGTCCAAAATGCAAAATCAAGGTGATTAGTTACATCACAGTAGAAGTACAAATCAAAATCCTTTCAGTCAAAATGGATATTGGTTGCAGGGAATTATGAGATGTCAGAAATGCTAAGGAAACAGTAAGGAATGATGAGGTAGAAAGAGTTGTGGTTCTCAGCTGCTGATACCTAATGAACTTATCTTCAAATGAGGGATTTTACATGAAACTCTGGGTCTCTTTGGATCAGGTTGCATCCATGCTTGGTTGAGCACCAGAGGATTTTAGAATTTAAGTTATTTGTGAAGTGCATAGTTACTCCCATTAAAATGAAGAGGGCAATTATGCTATGCATTGCATGAGAGGACTGATTAAAAGGACAAAAGTGACATATACAGAATGACACAAGTCATTTGAGGAAGAACACATTATATTCTAGATGTTCTCTGAAACCATTTTGGGTTGGTCATCGTTCATCAGAAACAATACCTAGAATGTTTTGGTTGTTCTGAGTTTTAGATGAAGCAACATCCCAAAATATCTTGGATTGATTTTACATAGCCAGTGGGGCAAAGCTGATGTGCAACAAAGCCTCTCTTCCTTACTCTTCTCAGTAGCTCCCACCACAGCACACCCCCAATGTTTCTAGTGCTTTTCCTTCCCTCCCTGCAGTCCCATTGATACTCCAGAGTGGCATATCCCACTAGCTCATTTCCTTCCCTCCCACTGCTCAGCTGCAACTACTGCTGATGTCCTGGCCCATATGCCTGCCATTTACTGTGACTGATTCAGCAGCAAGGAACAAGCTCCCCAAATATTATGGACTCTCTGATTTTGAGGCTAAAGTGGAGAACTAGGTAGA